GGGCTTGAGCCAAAGGCACTTGGGAAAAGCCAGATCAGGAACTGGATCCCTGTGCTGCCAGCAGGCAGAGGATTGGCCACTTCCAGGCTCTCCATGTGTGTGATGTTAAATTGGGAAGAGGAATCCTGGGACCAAAAATGTCGCTGCCTCCTCCTGCTGCCATCGGGCTTTTATTGCTAAACAGGACCTCGGATGGCCCGGAAAACCTTTGGGATCAGGCTGGGAAAACGGTCCTGGCTGTCTCCATCCCCAGCTTCTTGTCCATCCCCAACTTCTCATCCATTCCCAACTTCTTGTCCATTCCCAACTTCTGGTCCATCCCAAGTCCTGGTCTGTCCCCAGCCTGCTGTGGGGTCACACAGTGGGAGGAGGAGGAATCCTGGATGTCCCGTGGCTGCTCCAAACACGGGGGTGTCACTCCCACATCCCAGACACGGTGTTTGGGATGCTGGAAGGACACCGACTCCATCCCACAGGATGTGAAGAGGTGGGAATCAGGAAGGAGGTGGAAGCAGCCTCGTGTCTGGTGCCTTCTGACAAACGTTTTTCCCCTGCTTTCCAAGATCTCCAAAGAAATTTAATGAAGCCAAGATCTCCTTGCCTCTCCTTTCCCTGGAGGATTCCAACGCTGACATTCCACAAGATCTGTCTCCCAGAGGCTCTTCTGCCCAACTCGAGGGGTCCATTGGCCTGAGTTTTCCCTAAAATACTGAAAACTGGGAGAAGAATCCTCACTGCGAGGTTGAGATGAAACGTGGCCAGTAGGATTTGGTGGGAAAAAAGTGAATGGGCTGTTTCCAATCCGATCCTGGAAAACCCCTGGTGCAGATCAGAAGGACAAAGCGAAGCCAAGTATGGAAGAGACAGAGGACCCTTCTTGGAATGACATCCATGCAATTTGGGAGGGTCTCTGAGAGCCAGGAGAAGCCCCTTGGAGGGGGAAAAGTCATTCCAACAGGAGCAAAGGGGCTCCCAAGAGCCAAGGAAAGGCCTGGAGTTGCTGGAGCTGCTCCTCACCCGGACTCATCATTTGCAGCATGGATCTGGTTTTCCTGCCCTTGTTCATCCCTGGGCTCCCAGGATCCGTGAGGAGTTTCTGGCAGGAACAGGAGTTCTGGGAATGCTGGCTGTGGCCCCGCAGGGAGAGTCCCTGGGGGCAGAAGGTGCTGCAGTTCCACACTGGAACAACTCCAAGTACTGATGAAATCCATGGATTTAGGCCATGAATTAAAACTGTTCCCTCGAGCAAACACTCCGGAAGAATCCGTGGAAAACCTTTTGGGAGTTTCAGGTCCCAAGAGCAGAGGGGGCAGCGAGGGCTGGACAGGACAGGCCGGGGGCAAAGCTGGGGCTGGGCCGGGCCCAAGGGCACCCGAGCTGGGCAGGACTGGCCTGGTGTCCCCACTCAGCTGGGGACAACCCCCCACAGCCCTTCCCACAGGCCTGGCCCGGGCATCTGTGCACCCAGAGGATCGTTTAGGTTGGAAAAGACCCTCCAGAGGATCAAATCCCATCGGAAACCTGACACAGCCAAGCCCAGCACTGAACCAGACACGGGCACTGGGAGCAACTGGGAGTGGCTTTTGGGGTCTGTGCAGGACACCTGAGCAGGAAAACCAGGAAAACCCCCTGGAGGAGGCCTTGGACAGGCAGGAGCCACCAGTCTCATGTCCACCAACCCCCTCAAGGGGGGCTTCACCCACCCAGCACAGAGGGGCAGAATCGACCCGGGAGGTTCTGGGATGTGCCAATGGGGATAAATTCCCTCTCCAGGAGGTGGAAGAGCCAACAAGGAGCAAGGGCTGTGCTGGACCTCGTGCTCGCCCCCAGGAGGGGCTGAGGGAACATGGAATGGTGGAGTTGGAACTCCTGGGACAGCGAGGAGGGCACAGCAAACCCTGCCTTGGGCTCTGGGAGAGCAGAGTTTGGCCTCTCCAGGGATCTGCTGGGCAGAGTCCCCTGGGACAAAGCCCTGCAGGGAAGAGAAGCCCAAGGGAGCTGGTTGACACTCGGGGGTCACCTCCAGGCTCGGGAGCGACGCAGCCCAAGGAGGAGGAAGTTGGACAAAAATGCCTGGGAGGGTGAACAAGGGGCTCCTGGACAAACTCCAGCAGGAAAATGAAGCCTCCAGAGGGTGGAAGGAAGGACAGGCAGCCCGGGAGGAGAACAGAGAGCTGGGCTGAGCAGGCAGGGCCAGGTCAGGAGAGGTGGAGCTCTGGTGGACATAACCTGGCCTGGGATGTCAAGGCAACAGAAAAGCTTCTGTTGGTGGCAAGAGGAAGACTGGGGAAGAGGAAGACTTGTCCTTCCTCCAGGAGGAAACAGGAGACCTGGTTCCCCAGGGCCTGGAGGAGGCTGAGGGTCTCCAGGGTGTTTGTGCCTCAGCCCTCACCAGCTCCAGGGGCAGGAGGCAACGGCAGGGACTGGCAGAAGGAAGGACCGTCCACAGCAGGAGAATCCCAGAATCCCTGAGGTTGGAAAAGCCCTCCAGGACCATCGAGTCCAACCTGTGACCATCCCTCCCTTGTCCTCCAGCTCAGAGCACTGAGGGCCAAGTCCAGGCCTTCCTGGGACACCTCCAGGGGTGGGGACTCCAAACGTCCCTGGGCAGCCCCTGCCAAGGTCTGACCACCCTTTCCAGGAAGAAATTCCTCCTGATGTCCAACCTGACCCTCCCTGGCTCAGCCTGAGGCCGTTCCCTCTCCTCCTGTCCCTTGTTCCCTGGGAGCAGAGCCCGACCCCCCCTCGGCTCCCCCCTCCTGTTAGGGAATTCCGGAGGGAGAAGGTCCCCCCTGAGCCTCCTTTTCCCAGGCTGAGCCCCCCCAGCTCCCTCAGGGCTTCTCCAGACTCTTCTCAGCTCCCTCAGCTGCTCCTGCTGCTCCAGACCCTTCCCCAGCTCTGTTCCCATGCCTGGACTTGAGAAGATCAGAGAGACCATCCGAGGATCCTGAAGGTGCCCAAGTCCGTGGGACCTGCTGAGCTGCATCCCAGGATCTCGAGGGAGATGGTGGAAGTGCCTCCTCACTCCCCATCGGATCTGAGGAATTGGGGCAGTCTGGTGAAGTTCCCACAGATGAGAAAAGGGGAAATTTGGCCCCGTTTTTAAGAAGATGGAAGAGCCAGGGTGCTCCAGGGCACTCCAGGGCACTCCAGGGCAATGAGTCTCACATTGCTGCCCGGCAAGGTCATGGAGCAGATCCTTCTGGAAGCTGCACGAGGAAGATAAGGAGGTGGTTGGTGACAGCCAACCCGGCTGCTCTGAGGGCAAATTGTGCCTGACGTGGCCTCGTGGTGTCACCTGGGGGTGAGGAGAGAGCGATGACACCATTCCCTGGGCTGGGGCTCAGCATGTGGCACTGTCCCTGTGGCACTGTCCCCATGACACTGTCCCTGTGGCACTGTCCCCATGACACTCCTCTCTGAGCTGCAGACACGGATCTGGTGGCCGGAGCTCTGTGGGTGAGGACCCGGCTGGACGGGGACACTCAGAGCTGTGCCCGTGGCTTGATGCCCACGTGGAGCCCGGGGACCAGCAGCTCCTCAGGGGGATCAGGTGGTCGGTGTGGGACTGGAGCAGTTCAACCTTCGTTGGGGTCACAGACGGTGGGATTGAGGCACCTCAGGAGGAGCTGATGTCACCGAGCTCTGTGTGGGGTCACACCACAGGGAAGGGATGGGACACCCAGAGGGACCCGGGCAGGCAGGAGAGGTGGGACCATGTGAACCTCATGAAGTTCAACGAGATCAAGCACAAGATCCTGCCCCAAGCTGGAGCAGCTCCAGGCACAAATCCAGGCTGGGGATGAAGGGATTGGGAGCAGCCCTGGAGAATGACCTGGGGGTGCTGGGGGACGAGGAGCTCAACGTGAGAAGCTCCATCAGTGGACAAGGGAAGAGCTACAGGTGTCGTTTGTCTGGACTTCCATAAATGTTTGACTTCCACAGACCCCAACACCTCCTGTCTGAACTGGAGAGAGGTGGATTCCATGGTGGATTGTCCCATCCAGGGGGAAGTGGTCACTCAGAGTCCCGGTGGACATCAGGGAGCAGCGCTGCCCCCGGGGTCTGTCCTGGGCCCAGGGGGGTCTCACATCGTCCCTGAGGACACGGAGGGGTCGGGACCCCCAGCAGGTCCCAGTGACCCCGAGCCGGGGGTGCAGGGACATCCTGAGGGACCTGGACCAGCTCCAGCAGCGGCCCCTGGGATCTCAGGAGGTTTAACAAGGCCGAGGGCTGGTGCTGCCTCTGAGTCAGGGCAACCCCCGGGATCAATCCAGGCTGGGAATGAGCAGCTGGAGCAGCCCTGGGAGAAGGACCTGGGGGGCTGGTGGGGGAGAGGCTGGACAGGACCCAGCCCAGGACCCCCCGTGCCCTGGGCTGGTCCCACAGGGATCGTGGGCAGTGGGGAGGGGGGATCCTGCCCCTCTGCCCCCTCAGCTGAGACCCCCCTGCACCAGAAGGACGTGGAGCTGCTGGAGCGAGTCCAGAGGAGGCCATGGAGATGATCCAAGGGCTGGAAAACTTCTCCCGTCAGGAAAGGCTGAGAACTGGGATTGTTGGAGAAGAGAAGCTTTGTGGCCTCCCAGGGCCTGAGGGACCAACAAGAACCGTGGAGAGGGGCTGGGGACAAGGGATGGAGGGACAGGACACAGGGAGTGGCTTCAAACTGCCAGAGGGCAGGGATGGGATATTGGGAAGGAATTCCTCCCTGTGAGGGTGGGGAGGGGCTGGGATGGAATTCCCAGAGACGCTGTGGCTGCCCCATCCCTGGAAGTGTCCAAGCCCAGGTTGGAGCAGCCTGGGACAGTGGGAGGTGACAGGGGTGGAACCAGGAGGGCTTCCAGGTCCCTCCCAACCCCAACCATTCCATGATCCCGTGAAACTTGGAGCAGGTCCTGGCTCAGCCCCACGGGGGGCAGGGCGGGGGCTGGAGGCTCCTGCATCCAGAGGGGCTGGAAAGAGGGGGTGGGGGCTGAGGGGGAGTGATGAGGACACAGAGCTCGTTATTCCCTTCATTTAATCCTCGTTGGGGCAGAAATGTCAGGACCAGGCCCGGCTCCAGCAGGTCGGGCACAGCTGGGGGGGAACAGGACGCTGGGACGGCAGAAATGCTGGGAAGGACCAACTGCTGCTGCTGCTGCTGCAGGAATTCCTGAGTTGCGGGAGCTCTGTCAGATGCTCCCTGGGAAGAGCAGCCCCTGCTCCTCGGCCCCGGAGCCCGGGGGGGGGACGTGGTGGAGGGTCCATCCCTGCAGGGTCACCACGGCCCCCAGGGACACCTTCTGGGGGAATTCAGGGAATCCCGGTCAGGGCCTCACCCCTGCCCCAGAGATTCCCTGCACTGGGAATTCCAGTCAGTGCCTCCCCTAACTGGGAATTCTGGTCAGTCAAAACCAGTTACAGTCAATTAAAGCCAGTTAAAACCAGTTGATGCCAGTTGGAACAGTTAAAGTAACTTAAAGCCAGTTAAAATCAGTTAAAGGCATTTGGAGCCAGTTGAAGCCAGTTAAAACCAGTTAAAGCCAGTTAAAATCAGTTAAAGCCTGTTAAAACCAGCTGAGGCAGTTGAAGCCAGTTAGAGCCAGCTGAGGCCAGCTCAGGCCAGTTAAACCCAGCCCAGGCCAGTTAGAGCCAGCTGGAGCCAGCCCAGGCCAGTTAAACCCAGCCCAGGCCAGTTAGAGCCAGCTGGAGCCAGCTCAGGCCAGTTAAACCCAGCCCAGGCCAGTGTGGTGCTGGAGCCGTGGGAGCAGAGCCAGGACAGAGCCGGGGGTCCCTCCATGGATCCTCCCTGGATCCCACATGGATCCTCCACCCCGGCACGGCCCCGCGCTGGCTCAGGGCTGGACTCCGTCACCTCAAAGGTTTCCAACCCAGAGGATTCCCCAAAATCTGATATAAATTGGGCACAATTTGGTCCTGCCTTGGACCCAAACCCATCCCTGCCCCCCGCCAGGCGGAGCAGGAGCAGCAGCTCCGTGAATTCCCATTACCTGGAAGTCCCGGATGTAGGTGAGGAAGAAGCTGAGGAAGGAGAAGGCCAAGGACCACTCGGAGACGGTGCTGACCATGTGCAGGGGGTATCCCTGTGGTGGAGAGGGGGAATCGCTGGGAAAAGCTGCTCTGGGAGCTGCTGTGACACAAAATGCCTTGGGACATCCCACATCCCGCTGGAGAACACAATTCCTTTGAGCCTCCAGGAATGAAGAGTGGGAATGGCCAGGAAAACCCTGGGATGGCACCCACGGGGAATTTAACATCTGAAGGCTCAATCCAGAGCTGGGCCTGACCAACAAACCCTCTGGCTCTGGGGACAGCAGGGATTGACCTGAGGTTACAGTTGGAGCTCCAGCTGGTTTGGGATTGATTTAAAGTCACACTTGGAGCTCCAACTGTTTTGTGGGAGCAGAACTTCAGCGAGTTCTGGCACAGGTTGTCCAGAGAGGTTGTTGTGGAATCTCCATCCCTGGAAGTGCCCAAGACCAGGTTGGAACAACCTGCTCTATGGGAAGCGTGCCTGCCCATGGAATGAGGGGGGATTTGAGGTGCCTTCCCACCCAAAACCATCCTGGGATTCCAGGATTCTGGAGCTCCTCTGCTCTGGAGCCAGGCTGGGAGAACTGGGGGGGTTCCCCTGGAGAAGAGAAGGCTCCAGGGACACCTTGGAGCCCCTTGCAGGGCCTAAAGGGGCTCCAGGAGAGCTGGAGAGGGACTGGGGACAAGGGATGGAGGGACAGGACACAGGGAATGGCTTCAAACTGCCAGAGGGCAGGGATGGATGGGATATTGGGAAGGAATTCTTGGCTGTGAGGGTGGGGAGGGTCTGGGATGGAATTCCCAGAGAAGCTGTGGCTGCTTCATCTCTGGAAGTGTCCAGGGCCAGGTTGGAGCAGCCTGGGATAGTGGGAGGTGTCCCTGGGATAGTGGGAGGTGTCCCTGCCCAGGGCAGGGCTGGGACTGGGTGGGATTTGAGGTCCCTTCCCACCCACCCCAGCCTGGCATTCCATGACTCCAGGAAGCTCCTCTCCCCCCCACGGTGTGTTTGGAGCCACAGGAATGTCCCCCCATCCCCCCAATCCTGCTGGATCGGTGTCCCATCCCCCCCAGGCCTTACCCTGTCCTGGGGGTCCCAGTGCAGCCTCTGCTCCAGGCCGGATCCGTAGCGGCCGCTGTAGAGGAGCCCCGAGGACACGGACACTGCGGAATGTCAAGGAGGGAGCAGGGCAAGGATGGGCCTCCGGGAGCTTTAGGCCCGGCTTTGGAAGGGTCAGGGACAAGGATGGGCCTCCAGGAGCTTTAGGCCCGGCTTTGGGCTCAGCTGAGCCCGGCTTTGGGCTCGGCCTGCTCTGCATGAGGCTCCTCAAGGGGAGGAGCAGCGTTGGGGCCACGAGCCCTTCCCACCCTGGAGCTCATCCCAATCCATCAGTTACTGTCCCATCAAAGGGTCAACTCGGCCCTGCACCCACCCCCTTGTTCTCTGGGAGCTGCTCCTCCTCATCCCTCTCTGATCCCAGTGTCCTATGGAAGCACAGCTCCTTATCCCTATCCCAGTGTTCTCATGGAAGCACAGCTCGTTATCCCTGATCCCAGTGTCCTCATGGAAGCACAGCTCGTTATCCCTGATCCCAGTGTCCTCATGGAAGCACTGGAGCTGTGACCAGCTGGAAGCACTTCCTGAGCACCTGGAATATTTTTAGGGGTGTTTTCCAGGCTCACGGAGCCCAGACCTCTTTCTCCATTGGCTTTTCAGCCTCCCAGCCACCTGGAATTCTTGCCTGGTGGGTCCCAGGCTGGAATTCTGTGCCAGCTTTCCTTTCTTAGTCAGGATTTGGAACTCCTCGGGATTTCAAACAGCAGCCAAGGGAAAAACCCCCAATGACTCCTCATTTAATCCCAGACCCGGATCTTTCCAGAGCCTAATCCAACTTTTCCAACCCCTTTCCCAGGGAAGGAAGCCGGGACTCCTGCCTTTGCCAATGGAATCAGATTAATTTGGAGCCAATCTGATTTCCCAGCCCTGAGATATCAAACCCCATCCATGGTCAATGAGATCAAACCTCCAGAGCCTCCCGACGGGGAAGGACTTGTTTGGGTGGGAGCAAGGCTGGGCTTCCCAGCACAGACTGGGAGTCCAGACTCCCAAAGCTCCCTGAAAGTGGCTGTGAGTGGTTTGGGAGCTCTGGATGCTCCGAGTGCAGGAATTCCCCAATTCCCCGGGAATTCAGACGCTCTGGGAGCTCCTGGTCACTGATGGGGTGGGAAGAATTGGATCATTTTCTGGATGCAAGTGTCCAGCTGGAGCATCCCATCCCATCCCATCCCATCCCAAACCATCCCATCCCAAACCATCCCAGGCCTGGCTTGGAGCACAGCTGGGACCAGTCCCAGTCTGGGAGCACTGGGAGCACGGGAGGTGCTGATGTTCAGGCGAGAACCAACAAGATCTCCCAGGGGGACCCTCCCTCGCTTTTGCCTTGTTTGCTTTCAAAAGCAGCACCCTGGAATGTTGATTTTTAGTATTTCCTAATTTATATTCCTCTTAGTTCCATAAATCCTCCTTTTGTGGTTGTTTCCTGGGAGGTGGTTGTTTAAATGTTCTCTGAGGAGATACAGTGGCTGACACTGTCCAGCAAATATCAGTTATTCCATTTAAACCAGGATTCAAAGCACAGGAAAAGCTGGGCAGAGGAGGCAGCTCCCTAAAAACGGAACCTTTGGGGCTGGGAGCTCTGGATGCTGAGCTGAGCGCGGGAATTCCCCGATTCCCTGGGAATTCAGCTGCTCTGGGAGCTCCTGGTTCCTGATGGAGTGGGAGGAATTTGATCCTGGTGCTACAAACCCCTCTGGTTCCCCCCTCTCCTCGTTAGTGGGGCACTAACGACCTTCTGGGAAGGAGAACCAGGGAATTGCTGAGGCTGGAAAAGCCCTCTGGGATCGAGTCCAACCCTTCCCCCAGTCACCACTGACTCCTCAGGTGCCACATCCCCACAGTTTTTGGACACCTCCAGGGATGGGGCCTCCAAACCTCCCTGGGCAGCCCCTTCCAGAGCTGTACAGCCCTTTCCAGGCAGGAATTTTCCCCAATATCCAACCTGCCCCTCCCCTGGCACAGCTGGAGGCCATTTCCCTTTGTCCTGTCCCTGGCTCCCCCCTCCTGTCAGGGTGTTCATTTAGAAAATCATTCTAATTTCCCTTTTAGAAAATTATCCTCATTTCCCCCCAGTTTCCCTTTTTCCCCCTTCCCGGCCCACATTATTCCCACATCCCTATTTCTCCAGCTTCCCCATCATCCTGGTCACACCACAGGGCTTCAGGAAACCTCTCCAGGCTCGAGGCCTGTGGGGTTTTGGGATGTGGGATTGGAGCTGAACCCTCCCTTTCAGTTCCCCTTGTTTGGCTCCTCGGGGCTCAGAGCCCCAAATCCCATTTGCAGGCCCCAAAGATTCCTGACAGGGACAAGGAATCTCCAGGTTTCCTGGATGATTTCCCCGCTGTCTCCCAGCCCCCTCAGCAGGGGAGGGATTCCTGCCTTCTCCAGCCTGTTCCTCACTATCCCAGCGTGATTCCCAGAGCTCAGGGAGCTGCTCCATCCCCAGGAAATGGGGAATGTGGGTCAGTGCTGGCATTGGCTGCCAGCCTGGAAATAAATGGGATTGCTGGGGATTAAATCAGTGGCCTTGATCCAAGAAGTGTTTAAGCAAAGGCTTTGCACTCCTGCCTTTGGAATGTGGATTCCAGAGGTTTGGAGTGCTCTTGTTTGACACAGAGCTGAGTCTTCAATTCCAAACACAACATTTGGGGCCATCAGGGTGGTTCCGTTTCCTGACTCTCCAGTGATTCTGGAGAGGGAAAAGGCCTCTTTGGGCACACACGGACAACAGGGAATGGCTTCCCACTGCCAGAGGGCAGGGAGAGATGGGATATTGGGAAGGAATCCCATCTCTGGTGATAAATCCTGATTTTTCCTATTTCCTGTCTCTGGGAAAGGGGAGGACAAAGGCTGGGGGCCATTCCTCTTCCCTTGATTTTAGTGGGGGGATATTAAAAATACTCCATTTTCCTGTATTCCCAGTTGGAATACGGAACACAGCACAGGCTGAGCATTCCAGGTTGGAATACAGAATCCAGCACACTCCAAGCTGCGCATTCCCAGCTGGAATACAGAATCCAGCACACCAGAAGCTGTGCATTCCCAGCTGGAATACAGAATCCAGCAGCTCCAAGCTGCACGTTCCAAGGTGCACATTCCTTCCAGCCGGGGTTACATTAAGCTGGATCTAAAGCCCGGGGGTTCTCCCGTGTCCCAGTGGCACATTCCCAGGAAAGGATACTGCTCCCGATGCTGCAGGAGCTCCAGAGGAGCACGGCCAGGCGGGCCCAGAAGATTCCCTTGCCGTGGAATTCCGGCTGCATGTGGAAGGACAGGACGGTCTGGAGCAGCATGTAAAGGGCTCCCACCCCGAAGGTCAGGCAGGCTCCCAGCACATGGATATAGTACAGGACACATTTCTGGGAAAAGGAAGCACATCCTGCTTTTCTTGGAACCCCTGGAACCATTTTCCTCTGGAAAACTTTGGAACTTCCCCCCCCTCGGGTTGTTCTCCCGTTCCCAGCCAAGCGGGGCTGGAATGTGCAAGTGCTCGGGAGATTTGCCTTGGAATTGGAGTTTCCAGCCCTTGGAATCGCTGCTGTTGGGAAGCTCTTGTGGTGAAATTCCAGGTGAGAGCTGTGCCTTAAACACAGGGATTTGTGGGAGTTGCTGGCACTAATAACGGACAGAAATGCAGGAATTGGGGCAGGGAATTCCTGCCGGGAACGGGAGACACAACAGCATTGGTATCCCGGGAATCCAGGAAAGATCCTGGGAAACAGGACAAACACCCCAGAATTCCTGTACCCAAAGTGAGAGGAAAAAGAATGAGGTTCAGCATTTCCCCAAATGCCTCTGTCTGAACAAGGAGTGTGTGGAATTCTCTTGGAATCCTTGGAGGGAATGAGGCTGAATACGCAGCAACACTTAAAAACACTCCAGGAGAACTGGGAATTCCAACCCTCTGGAAGGAGATCCAAGTGTCCCTCCTGCAAAGTCTGGGCTTGGGAAGGGGATGCTCACAAGTCCCAGAGGAAAGAAGGAATGACTAAAAAAAAAATAATCCAGTTTTTTTAACAGTTTCCTGGTGGGAATTGGACCCAAAAAGCCCCAGTTTGCTCCCAAAGGAAATAAGTTAAAAAAAAAATCCAATTTTTTTAAGTTTCCTGTTGGGAATTGGACCCAAACCCCCCAATTTTCCATGAAAACTTTCCCTGGGATTTCAGAAAAAGGCAAGGAAAGCCCAAACCTGGAAGTTTGCGATGATGCAGAGGCCAAAGCAGCTCATCCAGCCCAAGGTGAGGCCGATCCTGTTGAGCCTGAGGATCCTGGAATTCCCTGGGATCAGGGCACACACCTGTTTGTACCGGACGTACATCGTGGCCACCCCTGCAGGGACAACAGTGACATTCCCAGTGTCCTTTTTCCACTGGGAAGGTGCTGAGTGACACAAGGAATTCCTTAAAATCCAGGGATTTTTTTCTGGATCACAGGAATGGGAAAGCTGAGGGGCTGGAAGTGCAAACTGGGACGATACAGCAGCAAAGAATTCCAATATTTGGATTTTCCTGAGATTTTTTTCATTTACAAACCACTCCCCCCCACTGGTTTTTCCCTCCTTCCAGGTAAATAACTGCCTGGAATTCCCATTTTTATCACTTTTATTCATCTGGTTGGGGTTTTAATGCCTTTTCTGCCCTTCTGGAAGTTGCAATTCCCATGCTGGATTCCCAGATAATCCCCTTGGCCCCCCATTTCCTCTCCACGGAGATTTATTGCCCAAGGTTTGGTTTTTGCCTGGGATTTCTGGGCCCATCCATGACCTGAGGGGGAAAGGAAATTGTTTGGAGCTTTTCCTACTCACCCAGGAAGGTGGAAATGTTCAACATGATCCCAAACAAGCATCTTTCCGGTGGAATCGTCCCTGTGTCGCTGGAGAAGAGAAATTCCAGGGATGGAGCAGCCAGAGCTTCTCTGGGAATTCCATCCCAGCCCCTCCCAGCCAGGAATTCCTTCCCAATATCCCATCCATCCCTGCTCTCTGGCAGTGGGAAGCCATTCCCTGTGTCCTGTCCCTCCATCCCTTGTCCCCAGTCCCTCTCCAGCTCTCCTGGAGCCCCTTCAGGCCCTGCAAGGGACTCCAAGGTGTCCCTGGAGCCTTCTCTTCTCCAGGGGAACATTCCCAGCTCTCCCAGCCTGGCTCCAGAGCAGAGGGGCTCCAGAATCCTGGAATCCCAGGCTGGTTTGGGTTGGAGGGACCTTCAATCCCACCCAGTCCCAGCCCTGCCCTGGGCAGGGACACCTCCCACTATCCCAGGCTGCTCCAACCTGGCCTTGGACACTCCCAGGGATGGGGCAACCTCTGGAAAATCCATCCCAGCCCCTCCCCACCCTCCCAGGGAGGAATTCCTTCCCAATATCCCATCCCACCCTCTCCCAGCCTGACACAACCTCCAACTCTCTCTAACAACCCCAACCAGGAACCACAGACTGGAGCTGTCGGGACAAACCCTTGGAGTCTGGGAGCTGGGAGGAATTCCCAGGGCTGGGACAGGGGCACATCCCTGACCTGATGTAGGGCACGGGGGCACATCCCTGACCTGATGTAGGGCACGGGGGCACATCCCTGACCTGATGTAGGGCACCAGCGGGTCCACGTGGCGCAGCACCGTGGCTGTGATGTAGGAGAACACGAAGGACGCCGCCGACCACAGCACCAGGGCCACGGGCAGGAAGGACAGACCCTGCTGGAACCACCACATGGCACCACGGGGACAGCACACGGGTCTGGGGAGGGGGGAGAGGGGGTGAGAGTCCTTAAAGAGTTGGGGAGAGTTCTCAAAGGGTTGGGGAGAGTTCTCAAAGGTTTAGTGAGAGTTCTCAAAGGGTTGGGGAGAGTTCTCAAAGGTTTAGTGAGAGTTCTCAAAGGTTTAGTGAGAGTTCTCAAAGGTTCAGTGAGAGTTCTTGCAGGTCTACTAAGAGTTCTCCAAGGTTTACTGAGAGTTCTCAAAGGTTTATTATGAGTTCCCAAAGGTTTACTGAGATTCTCAAAGATTTAATAGGATTTCTCAGAGGTTTACTGAGGGTTCTGAAGGTTCCACTGAGATTTCCAAAGGTTTACTGAGATTTTTCAAAGGTTTACTGAGATTTTTCAAAGGTTTTCTGAGAGTTCTCAAAGTTTACTAAGAATTCTAAAAGGTTTACTGAGATTTTTCAAAGCTTTACTGAGAGTTCTCAAAAGTTTATTAAGAATTCCCAAAGGTTTTCTGAGATTCCCAAAGGTTTACTGAGAGTTCTCAAGGGTTTACAAACAGTTCTCAAAGGTTTACTGAGAGTTCTTGAAGGTTTAGTGAGATTTTTCAAAGGTTTACTGAGATTCTCAAGGGTTTACTGAGAGTTATCAAATGTTTTCTGAGATTTTCAAAGGTTTTCTGAGATTCTCAAAGGTTTTCTGAGAGTTCTGGAAGGTTTTCTGAGAGTTCTCAAACCTTTACTGAGATTTCTCAAACCTTAACTGAGATTTCTCAAACTTTTACTGAGATTCCCAAAGGTTTATTGAGATTCCCAAAGGTTTATGAAGATTTCTCCAAGTTTAATAAGGATTCTCAAAGGTTTTCTGAGATCCTCAACGGTTTAATAGGATTTCTCAAGGGTGTACTGAGAGTTCCCAAAGCTTTACTGAGATTCTCCAAGGGTTTCTAGGATTTCTCAGGGGTTTCCTAAGATTTTTCAGGGTTTTCCTGGGATTTCTCAGGGATTTCCTGGGATTTCTCAGGAGTTTTCTGAGATTTCTCAGGGGTTTCCAGGATTTCTTGGGGTTTTCCTAAGATTTTTTCAGGGTTTTCCTAAGATTTTTTCAGGGTTTTCCT